CTACAAACTGGCTCCTCTTCCTCACTTTCACTATCAGAGTTTGATCCGGTCAGTAAAGGTCCTCCGTACAGCTGTACTAAATGTCAGAACGCTAACACCACACTAAAGATGGTGAACATGGTAATGATGATACCTGTCAGACATGAATTAGTGTGTTAGTATGCTGATGTTAGCATGAAGCTGAACGCAGAGCCAGCGCTCGCTTCTGCAGCGCCGCGTGCAGAGTGATGTGTGTGTCCCGTCGCTCACGCTCTCAGACTATAAATACAGACATAAAGTGTTCAATATTGTGTCAGTAACTCGACCCTGAACCTCGGAGTGAAACCTGATCCTGTTAACTGCTCACCGATGATGACTGCAGCTCACCGTTTGAGCCCGTTGGCAGACGTCCACCGAGCGCCGCCATCGGTCAGCTCGATCCGCCTCCTCCTGACACATCGGGGAAAAACAAAGAATCTGGAGCTGCAGTGCATTCACCCTGACCCCGGCACACTGTGACTCAGCATTAACGACTCAATGTCATCGCTGAAGCCTGAAGCCCAGTCTGTGCTGTCAGCAGCATCGCACTGTAAAAAGACTGGCTTTAAAACGGATTCCTTGTTGGGTTCGGGAGGAGCTGGAGACAGAATTATTAGCAGCCCCTTGGATGTGACTGATCACAGATGTGAACAGCAGTTGTCCTGACGATGATGTAGTTGGGTTAATAGCTGTCTGTCTGCTCAGATTCAGGATTCAGGAGATCCGACTTGATGACTGAGTAATATTGAAATATGCTGCTCTGGACTTTGAGCTCTGACTGAATAATTAATTACAGAGTGGAGATACGCACTGTAATAAGGCTGTTGCAGAATAAAATACTCTTACATTCAAATTAAATAAGTAAATTCAGTCTACATGAAGTTTATTAGATCAGTAGATTTTAAAATATTCTGATCAAATCAATCACGTAGACTCGAATTCCTGCTTTTAGTTATTGAAAATATCCTTTTTGTTTTTGTTAATGTGTATTTGTGATGTGATGGATAAATAACGGATCGATGTCATTCGACCTGAGATGTTTTTTTAGCTCCTGCAGCTTAACGACGATCATAGCAGCCAAGAAGACGTCGGCTCGGCTCGAAAGCGTTCACCGGTGGACTCCCTGCTACGTAGGCAATGACATCACTCTAAAATGGCGGCTCGCTAGACAGCTAGGTAGAAATTACGATAATGTCTGTAGTTTGAACAACTTGAGGAAGAGTTGAGTAAATCTGGATCCGAAACTATAAGTCTGACTACGACTCTGCTTTCTTTCTTATTCCTCAAATAAGTCTGTTTTAAATGATTTAATTTTAATATTGGCAGCACTAGACTTCCTTACTGTTGTCTGCATGAACGTTATTTTACACAGAAGAACATTTGTGTCGTGTGTTTTTGTTTGTTGTGTGCATGCCGTCAGGATTCGATCTAACGTCTTTGCATGTTTTCTTTTCTGTTGTTTGCATGATAAATGATTTTTTTTTTCTTTTTGTGTTTCTTTTCCATCCTTTCCTCCTTTTCTACTTTCTCTTTCTTTGTCCCGTATTTCTTTTCCTTTTCCCCTCTCCGTTGTGTTTCCTGTTGCATGCTGCCTGTGAAGTCGTCCTCCGGTTGAAGTGTTTAAGCTGCATAAAGTCCAGTTAACCTCAGAGGAGATGAGGAGGTTAACCACATGTGAGTGACGTCCGTCTGTGTGTCTGATGAGTCTCCATCGACTCTTTCTTCTCTGATTATGTGTGAAACAAAGAAAGAAAGGATGTTATCTGTTCAATTCAGATACTTTATTCGCCCTCTTATTGGGGCACAACGAGGCATGGTGGTTTGAAAATAATAAAAAAAAATTATGTGAAAATAAACAAACAAACGGTACCGGCGGTGTTTGTGGCCGTTGTCACCGGACTGTTATCGCTATGGTTGCGGCAGCAGGACGGCGGGACCGACCGGTGGGTGTGTGTGCTCGTGCTCGGTGACATCGGACGTAGTCCTCGGATGCAGTATCACGCGCTCTCTCTGAGTAACCATGGATACAAAGTCACTGTCATAGGCTTCCTGGGTGAGACACACACACAGACACACACAGAGACACACAGACACTAATTTGTCTAAAAAACTCCTTATGATCTTCTTTCAGACTAGTGGGAAATAAAACACCCCCAATACATGTTATGTTGTAAATGTTACTTTGAGTTTGTGTCTGTGTAATATATGATATAATATATAATATATATCTTTTAAGGCCGTTTTCTTAAAATGATTTCAGAATCAGATTTTATTCATTAAAACATTGCAAACATTTATTTTTTAATGTCTGTTGACAGTATTTTCTGATTTATGGAGTGATAAAAGGAGATTTACCCAATGTTCAGATTTCTGGAAATGTATGAAAATTTGCATTGCAACTTGTAATAAAAAAATAATTGTCTTAATGTAAAAACATCACCTGTAGTGAAATTTATAATATACATCTTTAAAGGCTGTTTTCTCAAAGTGAGTTTTTTCTGAAAATCTGAGCCAGAAATCTCTTTTATTCCTCTCTATATATATATCATTCACAGCCTGATTTATTGCACATTTTATTACTAAAAACATTCAGATTTCTGTTCTGGAAATGTATGAAAATCAGCATATTTTTTACCTCATTTGCATATTTAAACATAACATTTCAGAAAACTTGAAATACAAAAAATTATTCTCTTTATATAAATAATCAGAATAATCAGCTGGTGAAGTTTCATATTGATATGAATGATGTCTATATTTTTTTCACCCTGTTGAAAACAGTGATATCGTCCACATAAAGTGAAACATTGGAACCCGGAGTCGATATCTGCCGTGTAAAAACATCACTTCACGTTAAACCGAGTCGACACCCCGACTCTTCTTCTTCCCTCTGGTGAAAACATGTCGCTTTCTTTCTTCTTCTCCTGCTCAGTTCTGGGTCAGCTCGCTGTCCGCTGCCGACACACCGGCGTACAAAATGCATTCCAGTGTTTCTGCCTGAATAATGCATGATGGGAGTTGTAGTGAGAGGGCAGGAGTACAGATGTAGTTCTGCTTCTAAACCGCAAGCACTCAGACTCTGATACTCGTCCTCGCAGGTCAGCTCTCATCGGCCGTCCACACTGTCAATCAAACGGGTTTAAATGAGCCAATAAACAAGACTTTCTCTAAACAAAAACAAAACCTTTTGAAATAATAATAATGCATTAATTATGCAAATTAAGTCAACATTTTGACTCTCTTGTGATTTACAGGGGCCATCTGCCTGCCTGTGTGTGTGTGTCTGTGTTTGTGTGTGTGTGTGTGTCAGGTGGAATTCCATCGATCGTTATTAGCCTCGTTAATGCTAATTGATTAACGAAGATGTTCCAAAAATCAAATCATGAACTGTGGCTGCTGAACAGCAACACTCCCATCTTTCCAAAAGTCTAACAGCAGGAAAAAAGTATGTCATAAATACTACAAAATAAAATCTTGGTAGCAAATGTTTCAAAATAAAAGCCTGTAAAAACAAAAAACTTTATAAAGAAAAAAAATTTAAAAAGAAAATGTATAATAAGGAAATTGTTAAAATATACTGTAAAAACAGCTAAGTTAATTTAATTCAAACAATTGTTGAAACTGACACATTAAACATTTTAAGTAAAACTAAACTAAAACCATTCTTGATCAAGTAGTTTAAGTTGATTTTGTGTTGGTTAAAATATTCAATGTAATCAGAGCACATTTTTAAGTTTATTTTGATTATTTTTTAAAGGGAAATTTTATAAATCAAATAATTGTTTTCCCCATTTCTGTCTTTCGTGTGCACATAAACTTTTAGTTTTGATCCTGCACAGATTTATAGATGAGGCTAAGATCAGAAAACCGGGAGGACTCTCAAACAACCAGAACAAAAGGACTGAAGCTGGTTTCAAATGCAGACCACAGGCATTATTTATAAAATAGAAGTACGAGTTTAAAAGTTAAAAAACCTACAAATATTTTACCTGTTAACAGCTCTCATCCACTGACATCAGGTTTCCTGTTTGCTGCCTGAATCCATGTGAACGCAGCAAAATATGAAGTCTAATTATTTTATTTTAAGTGTAATGTTGGTTTTTATTAACATTTTTATATTTTTATCTTGAACAATATCATTAAATATCACACTGCTAATTTACACATTCCTTCTAACTGTATAACAGCCCTTATAATATATATTCTATTTTTATATTTATATATATCTTTGTGTTCTGATTCTAAAGGCCCCTGGTTGTCTCTGCAGACAGTGGACTGGTTTTACTGGTTTTACTGGTTTTACTGCAGACTGCTCATTTTAAAACTCACTGTTACAGAACAAACGTCCTTAAAAACAAATAAATTAAAATAAACAAATAAATAAACATATTTTTTATATACATATTGACTCCCTCTCATTACTGAGCTGTAGTATCACATGCTAACAGAAGCCACAGAGCTGAAGATGAAGGGAGGCGGTCAGACGGAGAGAGCAGGGTGAGTCAGAGGTAGAGGAGGCTGAATGGCACTGCAGCGCTCGTAAATCTGACTGCACTGCTGCAGCTATCACACACACACACACATTACAACACACACCCTCCTCCAACATGGCTGACATGATCTTTCTGTACACACATCATCAAACAGCGACTCCACATCCCCCTCTTCTTCTTCTCCTGACCTTTTCCTGTTGCAGTTTCCAGAGGTCTGTTCAGAGCTGCTGAGCGTTAGAAACCGTAGAAAATAACTCTGATAATGTCATTAACGTTGAATAATACTGAAAGAAATGAGCCACTAAAGGAACAGAGACCTTCAGACCACATATATAGAAACATATTGACACAGCATTCTCGATTTGACGTGCGTCTGTGCGGAGGTCACGTAAAGCTAGTTAACAAGAGAGATTCAGACTGTAACTCGCTTCATTCAGAACACATTCTCATTAAATGTGGTTTGTTATGAAGGTGAGACCCTGATGCTGGTTACTGGATTAATTCAGTCATTGGGGGACTCCAGGGCTTCCTTTGTGGCTCCCAGTGGTGAATACACTTCACTTTCACCACCAGTTATGTTCCAGATGTGTTCATTTCATTTCAAACTTGAGGTTATTGAACTATTAATCATATAAAACTAGATGTTGATGATAATATTTTCATGGTTTTCATGTTTGGTCAAGTTTTCATTTGTACTACAAACACATGGAACTGGATGTTCTAACCTTTTATCCTTAACTTTTAGATTTTAGCAGTTTTCACGCTCTCTAATTGCAACAAATACACCTTAAAACACCTAAATTAATAGTTATGGCTAACTCAATATGTTCTCTACAGTCTCTCCATGGAGCCTTTGGTTGGGAATACGCGTCTATAATATCAGTTCATTACTGAGGAATAAATATGCAGTAAAATCTACTGCAGCGTATTAAAGTTGATTGCTATTGTTAAAATGATTGATCCAGTCTCAGTCAAATTAAAATAAGCTGGACCTTGAGAAAGCATCCAGCAGTGATCAATGTAATCAACGTTATTAACGGACAAACTGTTGTTTTTCTCTGCAGAGACCAAGCAGGAGTTGGAGGACCTCACAGCTGACATCAAGAAGACAGCCAATAAAGTTCGCTCAAAATTAAAAGGTAGGTACTCAGAAACTCCTTCACATCCTCTTTACTCGCTACACTTCATCTTGAATCATTCATAAAGTCACATCCAGCTCCAGCACTCGTCTGGGATGCCCCGCCCCTTTAGGAACCTCGGTCCTCCTTTCCTGTACTTAGAAATGCTATTTGCTAGGCTAATCTGTGTTAAAAACACAACCACATTTTAAAGAGAGTTAAAAGATAAAAGAGACATATACTATATATAGTTAGCTAATGTAAGCAAAATGCTAACTAGCTAGATTGTGATTGATATGGATTAGTTAGCTAGTGGTTGCTACCTAACTAGCTAACTAATCTACATCAATCGTAGAAGCTAGATAGCTAGCATTAGCTTTCAACATAGATTAGCTTAGCACGTAGCATATCTGAGTAAACCAACTTTCTCCTCCTTGATGACCTGAAACCTCCTCACAGGATGTTTCCTACTGTTTCCTGTAGCGCCACCAGCAGGCCAAAGCCCCCACCAGAAATATCTCAGCAGAAGTAAACCTATAATATAGGTTATAATATTAGAAGATTTACGGTATTCAGACGCTGACCTTCAGCAGCAGAAGAGGAAAATATTCAAAAACAGAGGCGGTGATTTATCAAACTGTAATCGCAGGGACAGCCACACACACACACACACATGCACACACACAAACACATACACACACAAACACACAGCCACACACACACACACACACAAACACACAAACACACAGACACACACACACACACACACAAACACACAACAGATGGGCACACACACACACTTCACACACTATGCTGACTGAAGTTCAAGGACATACTGCATTAATGCGAACAAGGCCAGAGGTTTGACTACACAACACACACACGATGTTAATACCACGGTGTAAAAAGACACACACACACTCACACACATTCACAGACATCACAACACACCACACACACACTCACAGACACCACACACACACACACTCGCAGACACTCTCCACACACACACACACCCGACACTCACACACTTCACACACAACTCACAGACACTCTCACACACACCACACTCACAACACACACACACAACACAACTCACAGACACTTTCACACACACACCACCACACACACACACAACTCACACATACTCACAGACACTCACACACACACACACACACACACACACACACACACACAGACTGTACATATGCAGTCTGAGAATAGCAGTGATGGTGGAGATAAAGCTATAATTGGAAACCCCATGAGGCCTGAGTGTTATTGTCCCGTCTCACACACACATACACACACACAGTAGATGTGCCGTCCCTGCAGGAGGGGGGTCGTGGTGATGGGGGGGGCATGTCAGAGCACACAGGCTCCGCCCACAGCGCCGACAGCAGGTTAACGTCTGTCGGGTTTAAAGAGATTTTAAGCCTTTGAATAAACTTTATACATTATGAGTCTGAACAACGTGTCAGCCGCTCTGCTTCAGTGAGGGACTCGCACTGAGCCCATACCGCTGACTCTGTTGGACTGGGAGCTCCCAGCATCTGATGCTGACGGAGGACAGTTGGACTGCAGGGAATAAAGGACTGAGGAGGTTTATTGCAGGAGTTAGCGGTTAGCTAATTTAGCAAGAAGTCAGTGAGGAAACTCCATAAATCACCTCGATACGTCCAACTGTCCTCTGCTGACCTAACGGCGGCTACATCAGCAGTTCACTTTTCTTACACTCCTTAAAATCAAGAAGGCCTCACCCCCTGTGAAGTCTTGGTGACCCCTAGTGGGGGTCCTGACCCCCGGGTTGGGAACCACTGATTTAGGATCATATCGGATTATACTTTTTTATCCTTATTTCTTACGTAACAACAAACATCACTTTGATTTTTGAAACTAAAACTTTTAAACACAAACAAGGACTCACAATCTGTTGCTTACTCAGTTTTTATCTCACACACACACACACACACATTGTCAGTGCTGATATTGCTGAGTCATCATGGATCCAGCAGAGAGCAGCTGGGCCACGAGCCAACACACACACACACACACACACACACACACTGTGGAAAACATTATATAAGCGTTTCAGCTCGTCTCATCACTCACTGGAGACAAACCGACATCACAGAGTCACATGACACCAGGACAGACCTGCAGCCGGTTATCATGGCACCCACCCCCACACACACAGACACACACACAGACACACACACAGACACACACACAGACACACACTGCTCCAGCTGATGATGAACCCATCAGCTGTGATAGGACGTCACCTAGAGCCAACCTGCAGGTTTAAAGTCCCACCAGCGCCCCCTCCAGGCTGCTGAGTCCATTACAGCTTCAGCAGAACGATACACAATGACCGACACACTCCTGACGAATCCAAGCAGAGACACTGGCCTTTAACCTGACGCCTACATTACCCACAATGCACCTGAACCACCGACTGCTGTGTGTAAGTTCTAACTTGTAGTGTTTTTGTTTCTGCTGCTGATCAGTCAGTACGACAACTTCATTGAAGTTTAGACTCCTGATTAAAGACAGGAAGTTGTGTAGTGCAGTGGTTCCAAACCTGAGGGTCGGGACCCCCAATAGGGGTCGCCAAAGCAATACATACACAGCAGGCCGATGTCTCATCGGCCTATATTAAATAATATATATACAGACCGAAGAGCTTATAGAGCACCGCATCTGTCCAAATGAAGTGATTAAGTCTGTCTGATTGTTAAATATTATAAAAAATATAGAATACAGACAGAAAAAAGAATGATTTCTGATGCAGTTATTGAGTTTGTCCGGGGTCATCAGTGTGGTCACTGGTGCTGTGTGACGAAGGCGTTAGTGTAGAGTTTGTCCTGAAGGTGGCGCTAGAGGAGACGTCAGTAGGACAAACAGAGAGTTTGCTGTGTGGCTGCTGATGAACTCAGACCCTGCTGACTCGCTGTGTTTCTCCGGGCTGAGTGGGCGTCTGCAGACGGGAATATCCACACACATTATTACACTGCATCTCCCCGGGTGAATGATAATGTATGAAAGCTGCTGAGTGATGATGAAGGAGGAAGAGGAGGAGATGGCTGCAGTTTAAAAATGTGTAATATGGAATGAAATGTTGAGAACCAAAGTTTATGAAATGTAAGATACTTAATTTCTGACAACGTCTGAATTTGAATATTTTTGTTTATCTGACTGACAATGCAGGCAACAGTTGCTTTATTGTGGCGGTGTAAATGTGGAGAAATCCTTCACAATAAAAAGAGTGTAAGGATGATGTTTCCTGTTTGATCTGACTGACCCTGTGTGTGTGTGTGTGTGTGTGTGTTCCCGCAGCAATCGAGCAGAGCATCGAGCAGGAGGAGGGTCTCAACAGATCATCAGCGGACCTCAGGATCCGCAAGACACAGGTGAGACCGGTCCACATGTCCACATGTCCACATGTCCACCACAGACACAAACCTTTAATGTAGACAAACTATTTCTTTTGGACCACCTGTAAGGAAATATTGTACTTTTTACTACATGTATCTTTATTTATAGAGCACTGAGTTTAAAAACTATGTTAGTGCTTCATAAAAAATAAAATGAATTTAAAGAGAATTTAAAGGTAAAACAAGAAAAACATTAAAACATTCAGGAAATAAAATATATTTCTGAAAATTAATAAGTTACTTTGCAAATGAAGATTTTCCATACAGAGTGAATAAAATATGATGTTTTGTTATAAATAAAACAGTTTATATAAGTACAGCTGAAACCTTTAGTCCATTAATCAATCAGTCCAATAATCAATCAGTCCTTTGAGAGAAAATCAATCAGGTCATTTTCGGCTCAACAAACGTGAAGTTTTGCTGTTTTTCCTTTAATTGATTGGAATAATCAGAATTTATTAATAATAATCACTTTGGGCTCTGGGTGCTAGAATGTACAAGAGAACTCAAGCAATTTATTACAATGGTCTAATGATCAGCCCAGTAAAAGACAGTTAACATTAGTTAACAAATTGGGCTCCTGGTACATAGCTAATCATCACGCAATAATCGCTGGGGATCTTATACAGCATCAGTCTGTCTCGACCCTGCATGTATTCTGCCTCTGTCATGCTGCTGGCGCGCTCCCCCATCACTGGGAGTGGCTCTCTGCTCCGCTGACAGGTGAGGAGAGATTGACATGCATCACCGAGGCACATTACCAACCAAACACATGTCAACACATAAGCACGTGCTGGTACAGCCGTTGCAGGATTAACGGGTAGATAGCTGGGTCTTCACTGGTCGTGTAGTTTGTGTTGAATGACCGATTAACACAGCGATGTGCCCAAACTCTGCACAATTGACGCTGAAGTGTTAAAAGCTGTCCGAATATTTGAAGTAGAAGCACAGATGTCCCTCGTAAACTAAATAAACGACAAGCTGTACCGATTCAATTTTCCTGCAGACTAACAGGGACCACAGCTTTCGTCCCTTCGTTGTCAAGCCGTCCGCCAGTTAACTGGCTGAAACGTGTCCGCCGAAGTGCAAACGAAGACCGCAGCACAAGCCTAGAGCACACACACACACACACATCACGACACACACACACACATACACACAGCCGTTACAACCACAAACACGGTGTTCACATACAACACACGACACACCAGCACGATTACATTAGCATTGCTTTTTCTCTGTCTTGATTGGATTTGATCAGCACCAGGTTAGATTGATGACACAACCTAATTAACGGATGTTCCTTTATCAGATGAGCACAGGAGCAAGAAAACAGAATTAAGTGCTGGAGTCAATGGAAGATACACAAGTATGACGGGGGGTCATTTGTACGTGGTCAATACAACGTAGATATATAAAAACCTAAATAGTGATACCAATATAAACTTTTGCAGTGTGAGCGAAGACCAGCGCGCTTTCTCCCAGTGTCACTGTATATCAGATAGATGGTGAATCGCGATTTGCTCTTTCTTGATCAGCATGTATCCAAGTAACAGAAGATGCCAACTACAGAAGTGTGTGAACACGAGGTTTAAGACCGTCAGAACAGCAGGAGTGAGCTGATACCTTAATTCAACTGAGCAAGGGAGATGCACTATTTATAGATCTGAGGAATATTTTCAGCGCTTCAATGCCTTTTAATTAAATCTGAGGACCAGAAGTCGTGACACTCAGACTACGTGTGGTATTATAGGGGTTGATAGCGCTTTGGTTTTTTGAGTCGGGGTTGCTGATTCTTTTTTCGTTTTTTCTTGTTTCTTTTTCTGTCTTCGTGTGTTTTTTGTGTTTGCGTTTTGGGTGTGTTTTATAAGTTTATATAATTCAACAGTATAACTAATCTGATAGAGGAATCTAGGTGTGTTACAGCTTAAGTTGCTTTCAAAATAGGTCTAGATTTATCTTACAAAATCTGGAGAGAGAAATGAGTTGGTTAATAGTTGTTATAATTAAATATCTGAACCTGTAAAGTACCTTTTTCCTCTCTCTCTGCTTTCTTCGTCCTGTCTGTTTCCTGTCTTGTCTCTCTCCTGCTGGCTGTCTCTCTCATTTCCTGCACGTCACCTGCGACGCGGTGTCAGCGTACGTTGTGGAGGTGAGTGACTGTAGGGAACAACAGCCACTCAGCAGGATTCACCTCTGGCCGCTGCGAAGGACCGCATATCCAGAGCAGAGACAGCTGGGAGATCAGCGGAGTGTTACGCGGGCTCGCTGGAATACTCGGCTTCATACGTGCGTCTCCGAGTGACTGACCGTCTCGGATGAACAGTGGTATGCATGTCTGGGGCTGCAATAGCTGCACTTCTGAGGGTTTTGGCTGCTGCGGTGTCCGATTGGTAGAGTTCCTGTGAGGGTGAGGACCACGATACGACAGACTATTTCCATTAAGAATGTCATAAAGCTTAATTTAAGGTAAGTTAATTGAGAAACTGAAGGGGTACTGGTGGGAGTATGCGCGTGCGTTCCGTTCGGACAGCCATGCTATTTATGAAAATTTCGTTCGGCATATGACGTTTTGTTTTAGGAGGACGGGCGCCTGACTCCGGAGTAAAGGCGGCCTTGTGGCGTGGCGGTGGGAAAGTTGTGAGGGGCGCGTCCAATCAAAAAAATCTGTTGCAGTTACTCAGTTTTTATCTTCACACGAGCTACGACACTATCAAGCACGACTTGTCTCGATGAGCTGAAAGTATATA